TATCACTGCCATCAGGAAGCTTCCGGTTATTAAAATAAATGCTACTTGGGACTGAGCTGCTTAGTGTTTGCAGCTTGTACCCGGTACATGTACATGCACAGTATGTGCAAATGTAGCTTTGTGGTTTTGATATTCGGTGGTTGTTATTCTGTTATTTTGCACGTAATATTGAAAGTAACAGTGTGAATTTGAACTGTTTTTATGTTAAATTAATTTTATTCTTACATGACTGAATCATTGGAATCGTAACTTTGGAACCTTTGTACTGGGTATGCTACATGTATGGTTCAGTGGGGTGTCGGTCACTTTGCCCCATTTCCACTTAACCCTATGGCACTTCGCCCCTAACCACTTCGTTCCATTTCCACTTGGCTCCATTGATTATCGTTCATTCTGTTCTTAGGCATAGGCCTACATGCAACAAGTAAAAACATCGACATTTGAGAACCCAAATAATGATTGGAGAATCCAACTTGCAAAAGCTAAAACAATGCTTCCTATTTCCCGACCACCGGACCCAAATTTTTTTGTGAGACCCTAAAATTTTTATTGGCAAGTTAAAAAAAAAAGTTTTCTTTGTTTCGTTGTTGCAGTGGTAAACACCTGTGCACAAAGCGCTGGTTCCCGCCGCACCTGTGTAAGAGAATGCGTGATGGAGTGTGGCAACCAGCAGTGTTGTAGTACTCGTACTCAGTACTCGTACTCGAGTACTACTCGAGTACCGTTTTCAGAGTACTTGTACTCGTACTTTTTCTCGGACGTCCAAGTACTCGTACTTGAACCGCAGTTGTCTATTCATGCCGCGGCGACTGTACATGTACGTGATCCGTCACGCATCGAAAAAAATTGATGTTGCAAGATTTCTTCACGTTAATTCTCAGTATTTTGTCTGTGTGTGTATTTTCTTCTATTAATCAGTTTAGTTTTAGGTTGTTTTGCTCGTACTTGAAGGGAACATGTTTCCACTAAATTTCCTGCCCGCTGAGCTTTATCCAATCGCCCGGGTACAGCTGTCTGGATGCATCGACAGTTAACCAGAATGATGTGAACAGAATTGTGTGTGTTGCTTTAAAATAAACATGCAGACGATGAGAAATAACCTTGATGCTAGTCCATCCATATGTATTAATTCACCATAATGGACAACGCAGTCGACATTAATTCAATACTGTAGAGTTCTCTATAATAACTACATGTCGTTTGTGGAACTCGTCTCTCGACCATTTTTTGAAGAGGCTTGTAACAAACTCGAGCACGGACAGCAAAGTGGAAATGGGGCGAAGTGGTGATGGGACGTTAACTTGAGATGGGGCGATGTGGGGATGGGGCGAAGTGGTTAGGGGCGACGTGGAAATGGGGTGAAGTGACAGTAAATCGTCCAGTGGGTGATGGAAAAAAAAGAAATTTGAATGGAGTAACCATGGAAATGTGCCTGCATACATGTACATGTACAGTGTATACTGTGGAGTACATACGTGTACATGATGTGTGAACTATGCATGTATGTACATGATGTGTGAACTACATGCATGTATGTACATGACGTGTGAACTATGCATGTACATGACGTGTGAACTACATGCATGTATGTACATGATGTGTGAACTATGCATGCATGTATGTATGATGTATGAACTATGCATGTACATGATGTGTGAACTACATGTACATGCATGCATGTACATGATGTGTGAACTATGCATGCATGTACATGATGTGTGAACTATGCATGCATGTACATGATGTGTGAACTATGCATGTGCATGATGTGTGAACTACATGCATGCATGTACATGATGTGTGAACTATGCATGTACCGGTACATGATGTGTGAACTACCTGTACATGCATGTATGTACTGTACGTGATGTATGAACTACATGTGTACATGTACATTTTTGTTGTACATGTGGGAAAATGGAACATACCAGTGCAAGTACCAGTACAGAACCAGTACATGAACTTGTATGTAAAACTGTCATGACAAATATTGGTGAAGAAAACTCCCCACATGTGCCTACAATGCACAGGTGATCAGATAATTCATTGGGTACCATACATGTACATGTATTTACAATGAGTAGTCTGTACATGTACATGCTCGTACACTGTATGTACATGTACAGGTACAGGTACAGGTTTTCATTTTTTTGAAAAGGGGTTGACATTTTAAAGAGCGTTTCAAACAGTGTACATGTACGTTTTGTTACGAGTACATGCACCGGTATGTTTATGTATTGTTTACATTTACAAGTATCGGCAGTTTCATGCCGAAACTTTCGCTTTGTTAATGAGATTTGCTGAACTTACATGTACATTACATTTGATTAATTTGAATGTCAAAAAATCAACAACAAGATTGCGATGGAGTTACTGGTAATTTAGACTTTCCTGGCTTGACAAATGGACATGTGACTGCAGAGGTGACACCTTTTGGAATTTTACTTGAGTAATTGAGCGCCTGATTCGAGCGTTGTCACTGCATTCTGAGTATTGGTGCAAACACGAGAAAAATAACTGAACTAGCATACAATGTACATGTACATACCGTATGTAGATACTTTGTGCAGTGCTCAGGTACCGTACATGCGCAGGTGTTTGTGCAGATAATGCATGGATGTGCAGTGTACATTTATAAGAATTCTACAGAAATATATGTACATGTACTGTACTAAGTACATATACCTGCTCCAATATGGCCATTGGAAACAATTGACCCATGTCCATTACCCTTGCAATTTTGTTTGGCAGTGCAAACAGTAGTTCTCTTTCATGATGTATACCAGTTCATGCATTCACTGATGCCTCTACCTGTACAACATGTATGTTACTGCTTTGTGTACCGTACACCCATTATAAATAAATAAATACAGTTTAAAACAATGAAAAATACAATTTTCTGGTCAGATGATTTAAGTGAAAACAAGAGGAGATATTTACATATACACACTGTGTACATGTAGGTGTCTGTCGTTGCCTTTTGTTATAATACTAAATTTTCAGCTGGCTCTGCGCATGGTACATGTACGGTATATGTCGGTACTCAACGTGTACATTGTACATGTACCAGTTTGTACATGTACAGTGTGACGTACATGTACATGTACATTGTACAGGTGCATGTACAATGTACATGTATGGGACTTCTGGCCATCATATGTGCATTGGGTGACGTTAAAATCATTGGGAAATTAATGGGTCCATTGCTTGAATGAATCTGGATGAATGGCATCAAAGAATTGACAGGATGGAAGACAAAGACTTCGTATCCGGTCAGACTTGCTGAAAATCAAGCTGGTTGGAGCCACATCATCAATTCCTCTGAGTTACCTAACGACCATTAAGCCGTGGGACATGATGAAGTAATGTTACGTGTACAATGTACCGGTATGTAAATATTTGTCTAGTCAAATTGGCAAATGAAAATTTATTCCTCTAGTGTTTCTTAGAATAATTTATTATTCTTAGAATGATATCTTAGAATTTCTTATTCTTAGAATTATTTCTTCGAATAATGTTCAGAAGACTGTTCCACACACATGTACATACACGTACATGTCAAAATCAACTGAAATGCATAAGACAAGTTAAAAATCTCTTTCGGTCAGCACATGGTACACAAACACGTAGCATCTCCTCTTCCAAAAGTGCGTACATGTATATTCCTGGAGTGTGTAAATTCATGCCAATATATTAACTGGGTGATGTAGGAGGATAGTACCCTGAGGCCGTCCAGAATCCATCGCTGATTGAGGAAGAATGCCACTGCACCTGAAATGTGTGTCTGTGGGACCACAGAGATGCCGGTAGTTGTACTCTGCATATATGTATACTGTATGTACATGTGCCATATACACATCGCCCTGTACATGTATTGTATGTGTACATTTATAATTCTTCCTATGAATATACCGGTATGGCTTCCCTGTCAATTTGTAAGGTTAAGAAATCCTACACATGACACTACATGTAGGTGAAATGTACCGGTACATTTTACGTGTGTGCTGTAAAATACATGTATATATTTTTCATCCACTCATCTATGTACCGGTACAGTGTACATTTGAGCTATGGGTTACAAAATCAAAGCCCGAATCATGTATCGATACATGTGCATGTACCGGTACCTGTAATCAACCCACTACATGTATGTTTTATCACAGTATACACACATGTATGTGATACATCGCCTGTCAAATTTGGGAGACATTCTTCTCATGATATTTATGCCTACTTGTAAGCTAAAAGTTCCTACCACCTACCTCTGTGTGGGGTTTTTTTTATATAAATAAATTGATCATTTTGTTGCACATGTAAACTGTAATGTGAATTTGCTGATAGGCGCAAGTCCAACAGTGCACATCTGTACTAGTACATTAACTTGCCGAATGCATACTCCTGGACTTGCATGCATGTGGCATTCACAGGTACATGTATGTTTATATACGAAGTCTCATGACGTTCCTATAAAGTTTCATGTACATGTATGGGAAGTAAAAGAAATGTTCAGCCATACAGGGACGGAGACTTCATGTACATGTAGGTGCTTACAAATCAAAAAAGAATTTAACTGGAGGAGGATTCGAACAAGCCACCTCCAGAGCACTGTGTCAGGGCTGTACCTTCTGAGCTACCCAGCCCTGTATTGAGAGTTCTTCTTATATGTCGATATATTCCTTCAGGGGAACTAAGGTTCTCCTAAAATAAATCCCAAAACACCATGTGATCAGGGATCCCACCATAAGGACACCGTATGATGCAAGCAACATAAGCAATGCTGCAAACCGGGGAAGTGGTGAAGGAACGGAAAACTTGTTTAGAGCGCCAGAATTAGTTATGGAAGGAGAGGGCTACATCTTGGCATGGTTGCTTGGCACATTCCTCCAAGTGTTCATCTGAGGAATCCAAAGAAGATTGGGATCAGAATTACCTTAAAGAGGCGTATCTGGAAGTAATCAAATCTCATTTTGGTTTCATTTTCCCCCCCTTCATTTCTGTAGACTACCCTCTGGTTTCACAGAGCTGCATCATCTCGCCCACCTTACGCTGAATGATGTTACCCTGGAAAACCTACCCACAGACATAGGAAAGTAAGTATGCAGGTTGCTACACATTTGCATGAGCTGACTGACTTACAAATGTTTGACAGAAGGTACCCTTTCTATAAGTATATACATGTACTTACAGGAGTTCAGAATTCCTACGAATGGAGGATGTCCACATGCCTCTTGTGAGGACCTACATGTACATGTATGTGTACAAATCTGGTTGTGGCTTGTCAATTCCTCAGAGGATGTTATGTTGGCATTGTCGTCGGAAACGATCAGTTAGGCAGCGACATAGAGTACTTTCTCATACTTTTTGGGAGAGTTATTTATGTCTTTTAGAAATTCTTTGGTACTGAATTGAGAAAAGTGCAAAAGTTGTATACCATACATTTAGTCTGTGCACATGCATGTTATCATTTGTTGTTTTCGATTTGCTAAATTTGTGTTTGAAAAAAACATGCCAGAAGAAATGGCAGATCTCGAGAAGACAGTGAAACAACCTCAGTTTCAGAGTTGGTAAGAGGAAACCCCAAATAAATATTCCAGGAAGACACATGGAATGAGGCAAGACTGAAAACCCAATTCACATGTCTCCACCTGAGATCAACAAGTACGTTTTCAATATTGCCTGTCAGGAAATGTTTCTAAGGCAGCCTCTGATCGTGTCTGGATTTGATTTAAGTTCAGATGGGTACATTTCAATGCCTGAAGCTTCTCAGAGAGACCAAGCAAAATGTAACCTCAACTTGGGCAAGACATTTAACCTAGCAGTAATTTGCAATCATTTTCAGTGCTGTAGCCAAGAAGGAAGGGGAGAGGGGAGGGACAACTGCCCTCTTTGGATCTCTTGTCCTCCCTCTTGACCCCTCCCCTCCTTCCGATCCCCTCCCCCCAGAGCCTGGCTATGCCACAGTTCAGTTCAAGAGTTACTTTAATACCATTCAGCACTTCTTCATCAACAAAATACCGGTAAATTTGTACGGTATGTTCCATGACTTCAGTACAGACATAATCTCTGAGACTTCCTGCACATACCAGTCCATGTACTGCAGCTTGTTCAAATCACAGCTCTCTTCGAACGGGTCACTGTCAAAAGAGGCAGTGCTGATTTGCCTTGCCCTGAATACACACAGTTTGCAAAAGACACAACACAGAGAAAAGGCACTCCCGTCTGGTGTTTGTTTCAACCTTGTAACCATGGCTGAGGTGGATTAAGAAGGGGAAGTAATGATGCATGGGGTGGCATGAGTCACAGGCAGTCAAATCTCTACACCTGGGTACATGTGTACATGTACGTGAGTGTACACAACAAAACCCAGTGAAACATTCATGCCCTCAGATACGCTGAGGATCGAACACAACTCAACCCCAACATTTTTAGAGCCAAGGAGCTTTCAGGATCCCGGAATGTACATGTACTTCAGTGTGCGCTTGCAAAATGTACTTGCACTGGTACATGTACTTGACACCGTTCTGTTTGATACTGCTTTTGAGATTTCCTAAGTGCACTCCTTTTCTTACTTGAAACACAGCATAAAATTTCATACCGTACATATTATTAGTACCGGTAGATTTGTAGCCATGTCGTGTGCTGTACTGACACCTGTAAGTTCAGGTTCAGACATACATGGACATGTACATGTAATGAATAATACATGACATTTGTATAGTGCTGAATACAGGCATTTCAGTGTGAATGAATAAGGGAATGAATGTGTGCTTGGCTGGTCTTAAACATGTGTTTAAGACTGGCTCAGGAGAATGGACGTGACTAATGCCCGAGCTGCAGGTGAGGGCAGTAATAGCGTTCAGGCCGGCTAAGCACATATCTATTCCCATTCATACATGTACATGTAAATACCTTTTTTGTTAGAGAGTCCAAGGAAGTTTATATATGGTAAACTCTTGCTAAGTTGGCAGTCTTGGGACTCAAGAAATTGTGACGACTTACGCAAATGCCGGCTTGTGTTGTACGTTGTCGTTTTGCCGACTTACACTTACACATGTATTACCTGTGTACTAATTCAATGGCTTTGATTTACCCTGGTTTATTTCTACCTCCATGGTCGATCCCAGCAAATTTGTTCTCGATTTTTATCCTGCAAATTCATTAATTGATCATGTGCGGCTAAGGATGAAGCTAGGATGGCAAGCCACTTGCTTATCACATCACAACCTGACATATGTGTACATCTACATGATACAGTTACGGTACAAAAAACATACACTCATCCACACATGTGCATTGGTTAGTTTGTTCCATAAAGTCTGGATACCAGATCCGATGATTCTGACTACCCGATGAATCATTGTCAAGGGTCGTCCGGGAATGTTTGGGCAGGGAACAAGACTACGTTCAATAAGGCGACCCCAAAAATGGACAGAGCGCATGCGTGTAACACTAGAGGGGTTACTGGCATGGTATTGATGTGCTCATGCTGGCCGGCGGCGTGCGCATAGGACTTGTCACTTGAAACTTCTTGGCAACCGCGGTGAAGGAAACCGATACCGAAGCTCGACTTTTTTAAAATGCCGACTTACATGAAGGGATTTTTGTGGTTTTGTGGAAAAGGGACCGAGAAAAACATGGCGACATATGCAAAATGACGACTTATAAATGTCGACTTAGAAATGAAATTTTCAATGGAAATGCATTACAGACGATCGGGACTTTTGTCAAACGGCCAACTTGGATGATACGATGGGTCATGTGATGTCGACTTAATCGGAGTTTACTGTATAATGGATTTTCAGTGTTTTTGTTCTAGAATTTATTTTCATTCTCCCGAACACCTCCGTCCAATTTTTGGAATATTCCTTGTGCAAACTGTCCAAATGGCGCGCATGGCAAGCCGCGTGCACACGGACTCTTGACCAATCAGAATCTATTAAACTTTCTTGTATCCAGGTGCCAGCGTGTGATAAACGCAGCGGGCACTATCACTTTTAAGCGGGCACTATCAAATTTACATGGATGTTAATACACGGTCAAGTTGCGTGTTGTTGAATAAAGAGACTGCTTGAGGTACCGGGGTACCAGTATTTATGAAAGTGTCTTTAACTGAGTCCTCAATGTGTTTGTTGTTGGTGGGTCTCGCATGTATACCAAAGGGTGGGAGACTGTTCCACAGGGTTTGCAACAGTCACAGAGAATGTCCTGTGACCATTGGTGCATGACCACTAGTCGAATTGAAGATGGAGATGTGTGTGATCGAAGGGGGATGTTGAAATGTTGGGACAGATGAAGTTACTGAGGTACCGGCATGCCAGAGCGAATGTACAGAAGAAGAGTGTCAAATGAATTCACTGGGAGATGGGGGCCAGTGCAAGACTTATGGCACATGTAATATTGCATGATTACAGCTTATAATCAATGTAATGTTTGCATGTAGTGGACACTGGATTAGAAATGGTGCAACAAGTTACCAGTTTTATTTGTATTTGAAAGGCTAGAGGTTTGAACTCATTCACCCAGTCACCCTCCTCACCTGTTGTCAGTTATTGGATAGATGATACATGTACATATACATGTACTGTTGGCAATACTGAAGGTTGACAAACGACTTGGCTTAGTTGTTAGGCCTGTATACATATCAACCTACACGTACCTATCATGGTACACTCTTTTAATAGCCACAGGGGTGTGTAATACAGTACATGCATGTACCTCAGAGCCAATGCACTCAATATGAACCATATTTCTTCACAGCCTATAATGATCTGTTTCCATTTGTTGTCGAAAAATGTTTGATACATACGTAGAAACCACCTGTGATACATCACACCCCTCCCCTTACCCTTCCCCTACGCTTCCCCTACCCTTCCCCTACGCTTCCCCTACCCTTCCCCCTACCCTCCCCCGTTGGTACTTTGTACATGCATATGTGCCTTACTCACTGTGTGATTACGGAATCACAGTTCACCAGATGCAAGTTACATGTAACTTTGATGTATTATGAGACAGTGGTGCCTTTCTTGCTTAGAGTGAGTCAGAATGTTTGGCACAGAACTACCCAAAAGGTTTAACATACATGTACATGCATCTCATATAAATAGTGTGCAACATGTGGCCATTTTTGTATATACCGGTATCGGTACATGTACATGCACGGTATATGTACATGTACATGCACATGCACATGTATAACATGTACCGTACATGTACATGAAGCTACAAGAGGGACACGTACCAGTATGTTATACATGTGTATGTATGTATGTACATGTTTGTACATGTATGTACAATGTACAGATACATGTATGTGCATTATTTAAAATTTGCGTACAGGTGCAGGTAATGCCTTTGTCATTGCAAACCATAGACTGCATGCACAGTCAGTGTACAGGTGACAAGTGTTGAGCATCGTGCTTGAGCAAGTGAAATGTAATTGCAAACCATAGACTCCATGCACAATCAGTGTACAGGTGACTAGCGTTGAGCAGCTTGGGCAAGTGAAATATCCTTCTGAAGCTTAATGTCCTTTGGTTGCAGTGCGCCCTCTGTTGTTACTGAGTGGGGTGAAAACTCTTGAATGCACGACTGTAGGGGAAAGGCCCAGTTGAAAGGGTTAGTAGAAGGTGGTCAGCTCTGGATGGTTGGGATTTGCTGTCTGATTTACTGCTAGTTGGTTCATACATGTGCATGTACATTGTATACAGATGAGCACAATCTTTGGAAAGTTCATTCATCGCCTCAATATGTTTATTGATGCTATTGAATTGTACACACCATGACAGTTTGTTCATGCAAAAACCACTGTTTACCCACCCATGTTGAGCATTTACATGTACATGTATGTGTCAGAGTGACATCATTTCATAGCAGAATTCATCCTCTTTAATATCCTGACTAGTCATTTTGTAAGGGGGATAAAGCCCCTCTTTCCTACAGAACTCAACTCACTCACCTCACCACCCTACATGTATGCGCCCACATACATGTACATGTACTGGTACGTGTACACACATACTTGTACACGTACTGAGGTAGGCACGGCACCAGATTATTAGACTGGGCCGAAGCAGTCATTAGCTATTCATAA